GCAACCTTAATGTTCCTTTCAATTCTGAAATGCATAAGCATATGCATGTACATAGGTAAGTGTACAGGCAAATTAAAGACTGTTTGCTTCCTTAGGGCAGATTCTGGAGTACCTCACCATGGCTGGGGGATAATCTAGAATCTTCCATGGAGGCTTCATTTAAAAGAAGCAGAAAACAAGCCAGCAGTTCGTATCTGAGGTTTCAGCAGCCACATATGGTGGGTATTTCAGAATTTCTGCTGCAAAGTCACTTAGAACCAAGCACTGTGCCATATGCTACTGTGACACAAATGGATTTATAAAGGTTAGCTTCTGTGTGCACATACAGCATGACATGTTTCCAGCATATCACAGGACAAGAGCTACAGACTGATATGTTAAAGTAGCACTGATTTCTATAATTCTCCAGACCTAAGCAAGCAGAAAAAGACCTTAGTCTTCTATATTCAAGAAGACAGGCAAGTAAAACAACTTTTCCCAATTTCCAACTTCCACTCATCCTTGCAAGTTGAAATAAACTAATTAAAATAAGCATAGAAAGAATAGAAACTGAAAGAAAGACAAAATGTTGTGGAACTTGCAGAAGAAATTATTGACATCAAAAAGCTGGTTTATTATGTCAATAATGTATGTATCCAGCTGCTTTGCCAGTGACTTCTCTCAAGTGACTTCTCTCAAGATAAGATCAAATTTTTCTTAAACTTCAGCAGTCACTATACATAATTTAATTATATTTGCACTTTATTTAAATACTTCAAAAATGCAATGGCTTACTGTTAAATAAATAATAGGAATAAAAATTAGAGGTAATGATTAGAAGTATTTTTCTTACAGTGCCTTTTACAGCTGTGTTAAAAACCTGTTTTTTCAGGTGTATACTGAAAATTGGTTGCATTCTGCTATTGCTCAACAAATCTCTCTCTGTCCTTACCTTTCAGTTAGGACATGAAATTATATCTGCTGAGAAAATCATTCTAAGCTATGTCCTTGGTGAAAATCTGCAGCTAAAAGACAGATCTCTTCACATAAAGCAGGGAGCACCAACCACCTAACTAACATCACATGAGCATGAAAGGAAAGAAAGAACCAGGTGTCCTGGGAAGCAGGATGGCACCTCTTGCACCAGCACTGCTGCAGGCAGAGCACTGGCAAGGCACAGGTTGGCAGGACCAGATAAACAACAAACAAAGAGCCCCAGCTATCTAACATTTGGGGGCACTGCAGTGTAAATTGGAAAATGACATGAAACCTCCAGAAATAAGAGCACACAGGCAGGGAGTCTCCCAGGTGCAGTAATGTGAAGGGAAGCTTGTGAGCCTGCTGGAAAATGAAGGAGATGCTGCCCCTGGCTCAGCATATTTAACAGTGGGTCTGAGTTAGAAATGGGCAGATAGGACTTTCCTGGAGGTGGTTTTTTGTTTTTTTTTTTTTGACTAGGTTTTCTTTCTGAGCAAATATCACTGAAGGAAGAAAATAAGTCTATATGCTAATTTTTAATGCTAAGGTGCCCTTTGTCCTGTGTTTGGGTCATGGTATAATTCCTAAAACAGTTAAGCACAGGCTTATAGGCATAGTGATGGAAAAAAAATTGGACAGATATTACAGATATTATCTTTACCTATAAAAGAGGTATTGAAAAGTGAGGAAAAGATACCTTTTAGTAAGTCTTTTTCATTTTACTAAGACTGTAATTGTACAGAATATTTCAAGGGTGTAACACCTAGCAAGACCTGAGGAAAACACTTTCAGTAGAGAGGCACCAGTACCACAGAATGCTGAGCTTTTCTGCCATGAGGAACTCCCATCATATCTGCACTTGGGCAGAGCAGAGCACAGCACTGTTTTCTTCCTGGCAAGCTGTGGCAGCTCTTGCTTTGCAGTTTCCTGAATGACTGCATTAATTTGATTGACTCCAGATCAATGGTGTCTCTAAATAAGATTAAATTACATGTTCCTCTGCCTGTATGTTACAGGAGATTACTCTTAGCAGAATCTCAAAGGAAGCAATTAGCTGACCACTGATGTAATGAATTCTAATTATTTAGTTTGTACAAACAATAAAGCCAGATCGTTTGTTTAGCAAGGAAGTAATTACTCTGAGAACTTGAGAAAATAAATCGAACAGTGCTACCTAGACCCGTAAATAATGAACCTTCTACTTTCCATTTATGCTAAGAATGCTCATGGAATATTTTCAGGTAGCTGGGAGTCAACCTTTGAAAGTAACATTTATCATAGTTGTTATTGAGCACTTGCTTGATTATGTTCTTGAGTGTGCTAGGTACCCTGCAGAAATATCCATCTACATTGGCTGTCACTGGCACCTGCTAAAAATTCACTGCAGCCAGTGCAATTTCCTGCAACTGCTTTTTGTTAATCAACAAGAAGTCACTCACATCACAATCATTAGGTTGTTCTGCTCCTAAGGGCACCAGTGGCAGGGGCATGTCCTCAGCAATGGATGAATGATCAGGAGAAAAAGCACATTACTATGCATGGAGCAGGCTCTATTTTGCCCAACATTTGGCCATGTAGGCTAGAAATGGAATCAAATCAGAAGGCAGTCAAATGAGAATGGTTCTAGCTGGGTCTTCCCCTTCTCCATGTTGATCTCTGCTGCTGCAAAATATTGACAGCTCCAGCAGGAGAGACAAGCAGAGTCACTGGGGACCTCGTGCTGCAAAAAGCAGAGAGCACTCCCAAAAATACCTCAACTTCTGCCACTTCTGCTGATTTTGTGTGACTCAAGAGCATGAGGGAGCTGACAAATTAGAGATAACCTGAGCCTATTTTATGCAAACTCACTGGTTATTGCAAGCACAGTGATGCAGCCATCTGCACTTCCTGCAGATACCAACTCCTGAGATACCAACTTCCTGCAGATACCATTCCCTTCAAGGCAGTTGGCTTCCTTTACCATAGCTTTGAAAAGATATTCATGCACACAAAAATATTTTGCTTAATCTTTCTTTCATTTCTTTCCAGCCACATTTTAGGTGCTAAATCTGAATTCAAAGTAAACTGCATAGCCTAGAATTCTGCAGTTGGCTTGGTTTTCCTCTTTTCTTAGGCCAAACAGTGATACACCCAAAAGGGATCAGCATTATTTTCTGGCTCTCTTAAGTGGTGCTAAAAAGTCTTATGGCAACACTGTCTCACATCCTCATAAAACCTGAATGAAATAAAAAAAGACACTTCTGCTTCCAGCACTTGGATTCTTGTTGTAGTATTACTGTTTAAACAGAGAATAAAAGCCCTGAGGTCAGTGAAATCTCACTGAAGTGAGCAGGGTAGAAGTTACAGCAACATCTGTACTGGCTGAAGGGAAACTGCAAATCAATTGTTAGTGCAATGGGAGCCATTTCCCTCATGCTTATGAGGTATTTCAGTTCTTCAGTCCTTTCCACCCTGAGCTGTTTCTCTTTGTGTTCAGTAGCTATTAAAAACTCAGAGAATGGGGGTTTTTTTGTGCTCTTGCTGTAGGCCTAATTGACAAATGTTTGCTGCCTGCCATAATGTTAAGCCAGTATCTCTGAAAATTAACTGAAGACTTTAGTCTAATTTGGAGAATGTAAGGGTGAATAAATACCATGTACCCCAAGGCACATGAGGCAGATAAATTAAAAATGGCATCTAACTGTACTGGAGACATGCTTATGCCTAAAGCTTTTGTTTTGCTTTCCCTACAAACAATTTTACCAATCAAACAACATGAAATCAGAGAATTCCCTGGTCAGTCTTCTGGAATATCCCTGTGAGCCTCTTCTAGGGAAAAGAAGCACTACTAAATGTTTTGGCTGCCTCTACACCAAGTATTAAAATGTCATACTGTTTTTCCAGCCTGAAAAATTCTGGTGACCTTACTGGCTGAAACAATTAATGTTGAGCCAGACAGGCAAGAACAGAAAGTTTTTGGGGGTCTTCAGCAAGGCTGAACTGCAGCCAAAACCATTGAGGAAGGTGTGAGAACTGCCTTAAAACTGGTCAGTACTTTGCTGGGTAAAAATATTGGAGCTGCTACTCCACATTTGAGAATAAGAGGAATATCTCATCAGAATGAGCAAAGTCTTGATTTCTGGCCATGCTTGAAGTGCATTGTACTGCACCCTTGAAATACTGGGTCTCTTCTACAGAGGTGTTGCACCAGGAGAAATCAAGGGTTTGATTTACCTTGGAATGACTATGTGATTATGATCCTGCAACACATTACTCGTCCAATCTCCTTTGTGTGGGGAAATAAAGCCTTATTCTATTCCTTCCAAATACAAATGGAAAGTGAGATGACAGTACAAAGCAGAACAGCTTCTATAAACAAAGCAAATTGTGACAGAAAAATTTGCTGACTTTATGAAAATGGGATCAAAAGTGCTGCTTGGTTTAATAAGAAACTGGCAGTATTTTGTTTTCTTTTAGCTTCTCCTTATCATCTCCTATACTGCCTCTGTTTCTAATGTCATCACTTCAAAAAGAAAATCCATCACAAGAGGAATTCTGCTGCTTAGAATAAGGATTTAGTCTAATAGCATTAGACAAATCTCCTGACTTTCTCTGGCTTTCTGCATTAGAAAGAAGGTGGGCTGATTGATCCAAAGCATTTTTTTTCAGAATGTCTAAAGAATTACAATTCCCATTTTCAAAATTATTTTAGGCACTTAACCACTAAATCCTTTATACAGATATTTTGGCTCTTCCTTGGTCTCTTTTGAAAAATGAATTAAATTCATATAGCATGTAGATGTATAAAAACTGAGTTTCTCTCCTCTCCTAAATATACTCTCTAAATGGATATTTAGCTTCTAGAGATGTAGTAAGCCTACTTCAAGAGTAAAATCTTTGGAATATTTTTCCATTTAAAATATCTGGAGAGAATCAACAAGTTCTTTAAGAGTGGCTTTTAATAAGCTAATTGATTTCAGGAATCTTGAGAAAAGTTTAAAACCATTTTCTGCAAAATGTCTGGTCAAACATTTTTTTAGCTTAATAATAAGAAACTGTCTTGCCTTTCTGAATCTGTCTGTTTCCTCCAAAGATCCAGCACTCTGTTTAAAAGAAAGAAAAAAAAAAGAAAAGAAAAAAAAGAAGCAGGAAGTTAAGATCCCAGAGAAGCCTGTAAATGAGTATTCACCACACAGAGGATGTTTCTTTCATATTCATGGTCACCCGGACAGAGTGAACCAGCAGGAGATTTTTTTAATGGGCTTTTAACCAACATTAGGCAGAAAGATGACATGTTTTTAGGTTCTTGACTACTTGAATCAGATAAGCAGTTCTCCCAGCAATAGCTTTGACTTTACTGACACCTATTGACTATGTTAATGCTTACAGAAAAGTTTGGTTAACAAGTCATGAGTCATTACAATCAATGGCAAACACAGAAATATGATCTTTGTTAATAAAAGTCATGCTTAACTTCCATGCATTTTAAAGGATTCATGTTCTAAAAAAGCTATGGATTTCAAGAAAAGGTTTCTCAAGGCAGAAAATTTTAAAGTGCCTCAGATTTTAGGTGTTCAAGTTCAGATACCTTTGAAAGCACTCTTATACAGAAAGTACCAAATGCAAACCTGTAAATTCTAATCCTTTGATTATGGTATCTTGAAGCTGCTCAGAGTAGTTAAGCTAGAAAAATATTAATTAATAATTATATATATTTATGCTAAGAACATGGGAGTATCTTTAGCATGCCCTGGAATATCTTATAAATGATGATGAATTCTGCCACCCTTAGCGTGTCTTATATATAACAACTAGGTAACTTCTTCAATAATTTGGTTTTTGAATTAAAATTTCTCATCTTTTTATTCATTCCAAATCATTAACCTATAAGGACAGTTTTAAAAGGGACTAGGTCCTTCTGTGCAGTTACTTTGAATCAGTTCAGTCAGTGACTATCCTGTCTCACAGCAGGAGACAAAAATAATGAACAGTGAATATATTTTTACTGCAGGAACTGTCAAAAAATAACTCTATGGAGAATGTTGGGTGGAGAAAGGGCAGAAAATAGAAATCCATGTGCCCAGAACCAGGCACACACCCAAAGTATTCACACACACAGCTGCATGCCTCTTTGCCATTTACTATTCTGGTTTGAAACTTCCATCTCAAGAAATATCTTTTGCATAGTGTACAAAGGGAAAAAGCACACAACTCTTGTGTCTTAATTAAGCAGATTACACATGAATACTGCTGAAGTAAGACTAGCAATGTGAAGCAGCCTGAGAGAGCAATGGCAGAGCTCAGCAGCTGTCACTTACTGGTGAGCTCAGGGCCTCTCTCAGCTTGGATTTGTAGAGCATCCATCGGTAGCGCAGCTCCTCCAGGTCCTCAGAACTTCCCACCACAGGATGAAGATGAAGGAGGTCCTCAAAGAGTTGCTGACCATGAGGCACATGAGACTGCAGCTCCTAAAGGCAAAGACAAGGCTCGGCAGTAATTCAGGATTCATGAAGTCCCCACTTTTTAAATCAGCATTTGATAAAACAGTGGTTTACACACACGTTTAATTTTGTTGTTGCTTTTTTGGCCTGAAATGATATGAAACTCACCTACAGGACTCCTCTAGCCTTGGATATTCCTGTGTTTAGTATCTAACAATCCAACAAATCTAACAAATTGCCATGGCATTTGGCTATACTCCAAACTGTACTCTATACAGGAAGAATGAGACCAAATACTGATCTGACAGTGATTTCAATCAGCTTCTTTTAATGAACACCTTTGGCATAGCACACTGGAAATGTCCAGCCCAACAGCTAAATGCCAGGTGCTCCTTTCCCTTCTACTCTGGTTCTGCCAGACCTTTCCTAGTAGAAAGGATGAAAATTGTCCTAAATTCCTGAGCTTCATCTACTCTAGAGTCTCATACAGCGGAGTGTATAGTGTTTGAATTTTTTGTTCTTGAGGATTTTTTGTGGTTTTTTGGGAGGTGGTGGGTTTTTGGTTTGTAGGAGGAGTGGTTCTGGGTTTTGTTGTTGTTGCTTGGATTTTTTAAATTCTGAAAGAATTCACACTTATTGCATTATTTTTCCCCATCCACCCCCTGAAAACTAACCTCAAATTGGCTCTGCTGTGCCTTAATTTCCTCTGCAGAAGATGGAATCCCAGCAAGAATTTTGGTCAGTTTGGTGTTTTCTCCTTGGAGCCACTCTTCAAAGTCATGTAGAAGCTTCAAGTGGCTGCTTGCAGTCTGCCCTTTTCCCATCTTCTCCTGGGATACAGAACAACAGGAACAAAAAATGTCAGACATTTCCTCTGAAGGCCTGACTGTGAAATCAATATCAGATGAAGGCACTGAAACTGTTCTTGTGAGACTGATATGAAGAGAGACACAAAGTCCCCATCTCACCTGCTTATGGTTGGGATCAACATCAAAAAGGTGGAAAGCAGGTCTAGACATCCATCTGCTGTCCACAAATGCTCTTTTCTTCTTCTTGTCAGCCACTGGTCTACTTAACTGCCACTTTTTGAGGAGGCTTGGAAACACAAAACCAGAGATATCAGTGCAGGGACATCCACATTCTGACTGGGGCTATGGAAGACAGCTCTGGGGAAACAGCACTATTGTTGTTATTATTATATCATTATTAATACTAATAACACTATTACTATTGAAGTTATTCCCAACCAGAATGTCTCACAGCTGCACCAGGACTCTAGTTCTGACATTTCTAAGTGTTCTGTTTACTTTTAGTTAAGGGACCAAAAATAATACCTTGGCAATATACATTTCTTTCTGGTTACAGGAGGCAGTACAATCAAGCCTTCCTCAATTTTGTAATTTATTTTTTGTGCCTGACATATTCTGACAGTATGTATGAATACAATCATACATGCAGCACACCATTACATATTAATACAGACTAGCAAATATGAGCAGCATTTCAGCACTACACAGTGGAGGCAAAATAAATTAAGTCTTAATTTCCTAGCTAAAGAGAAGATTTTTAGCTCTGCTTATAGTTCTGCAGGTTTGCAAAAGGCACAAATCTCATTGCAGATACACCCTCCTTGGAGGCATCTCCAAGGAGAACAGGAAGATGAGACAGAACAGCACAAGACACCCAGTCTGTGCCAAATTTCCTCTGCCACAGACTGGCAGAACAAGAGTGAGCCAGGCCACAAGACACTGCCTACTCCAACACGAGGTAAAGGAAGATTTACAGACATTGCGGTTCACAGAGTCTTAAAATAGTTTTCTTAAAAGTAATGATTTTCTGTTTACAGACAATTAAATAAAATCTCATATTGCTTCTAGCATGATGGTATGGCTGTTGAGTTTCACAGCACAGAGCATAAAGTCTCAAGTGTGTCTGTTCTTACTGCAGTAAAAAGAGCCCTGTGGAAGGGACATGAGGAACACCTACACAAACACTTACCCAGTTGCCATCTCCTTCAGTGAATTCCACGACTCCCTCAGCTGATCCAGCTCTGCCTGGACATGGGCAGTCTCCTCTGGAGAAGAATTCTCCATGACCAGCTGGCCATGAGCTTCTACAAGGTTCAGCTGGATCTCCTTATCTGGAAACTCAGCCAGTAATCTCTGAAATGCAAAGCCCTGAAATTACTCCTAGGTATCCTGGGTAAAGTGGAGGCTATGTCAGACTGAAGGCCTTGTTCAGTCCAGGACTATGCTGGTTTTGTTGGCACTAGCTAGAACATATCAAGAGGGAAAAAAAATATGCTGTGCATGCTTCCAAAGAGTCAACATAGGTCAAAGAGCTGATGGGAGGACTTTGAGGGTGCAAGATGTCAATGCACCTCCTTCTGTAGCCTTCCCATGAAAGATTTCGGTCTCCCACACGAAGGCAACAGCTGCCAGCTGAAGTATCCTGCTAGAGTGAATTTAACATGCAAAGTACTGCTACACAGGAAAAGCTGGCAGCTTTGGACCAGCTCAGTTCAACAAGCAGAAGGCCAGCTAAAATGGCAGGAATGTTCAATATATTGATGAGTACACACAGGTAAAGGCAGGTATTGTTCAGAGAGATCACCCTGACAGGAACAGACTACTTATCCTTGGTGGTCCCATCTCAACACTTACTCATTTTCACTGCTCTTGTCTGTTACATGGCCCTACATCCCACAGCACAGGGCAAAGCAGAGAGGCGACAGCAGCCAACAGTTATTGCAGGAGAAACACACATCATTACCCTCCTGAACCAGCAAATCCTCACTAGAAACCCCCACTCTTAATGTGTGAATGTTGCAAAGTGAATAATTAACATCTTAAACTAAGATGCTTTTCTCACCTCCAGGTCTTCCAGCCTGCCCTCAGTGTTCTGCTCCCCATCAGCATCCTGGCAGGAGTCAATCCTCTCCCTGGTTACTGAGATCCACTGCTGGAGGTCAGACAGTTTGTCATTATATGCCCAGTGCTTCTGAACGTGGTCTTCACTCTGCTGTATCATCATCTACAAACGATAACAATATGTCAGAACCAAAGACAAAACAAAAGCACTTTCTTTACTGGCTCTAACATTATGATGAGCACAGAACCTCATGGGGAAAAAGGAAAAAAGCAGGTATTAATGAGAGACAAAAAACCCTATCCTTTTAGCATCAGTGATGTGGAAAACATCTCCAAGCTCCTGCAGGCCTGAATTCCACCACACGGGGGGGTATCAAGAACTAGAATAGCTCCCTTCCTTCTCAGCTGAAAGGGAATAGAGACTTTACATGCCTGGGGTTTTTGTACTCCAGTCAATATCAAATACATCTTACACTCCCTGAATCAGAAATCACTGTACAGACTTGTTTGGCAAAAGTTCAGTTCAGTGATAAATGGGATGATTGAAATTGAAACTAGAATTCCACAGTGCATGTTCAGGTAACACTTTAACATACACAATTTTATAGTGAACTGCATAGCTAAGGTAACTTCATGAGCTCTTATTCTGAGAATCTCCTGAGATTGCTCTGGAGGTCACTTTATAGGTATGTTTGCAAGCTACAAAATGCCTCAGGACAAAGCAAGTATTTATACAATTGCTGCACTTTTCTCTCATTATGTCACAAAGCCATAAAACCCCCAAACACTTTGGTACAAACCCCCTCTCCTATAATCTGTGAATGATAATGTGAGTTCTTTTGGTCAGGAATCTCAGGCCCACTCTAGAAACAGTTTATACAGACAAAATCCATGTGGATGGTATCCTATCCCCAAGGGAAATCACATTAGAGATAATCAGAGAATCCTGGAAGAGTTATCAAAGTCTTAAGAATTCAATGCTTTCTTTCCCTGAAATAAAAGTATCTGTCACTCAAAGCATGTAATGTCATATGCTCAAGGATGTTTTAAAATATTTTTAAATAGAGGCAACTGACAACTCCCCAGGCAACTAAAAACTTCCTTATGTTACCTCCAGTGATCTCTTCAGGGCCTGAGAATCAGATGAGAGTTGGTTCATTTCATGCCTGTGTGTGGTATTTGACTGAACAAGCTTCTCTACCTCCTCCATGTGAATTGCAAGCTCTGCCAAGTCATCTTGGATCATCTGCAGAGGAAAATACAGATTCCATGTGTGTAGTGTGCTAGGTATGGCATGGACTTTCAAAAATATACACCAAAGGCAGCTTCATTGATAGTGTGAGGAGAAAAAAGCCATAGCAACAACCAGTGTCGTTAGAGGAAACAAATTGCTTTGATGCCTAGGAGTAAATGTTCCTGAAAAAAATAGATGGATGTCATTTACATGCTACTGGGAGCTAACAAGGAAGATAAGTTGCTGAGAAGTGCCAAAGGAGCCACAGTATAACCAGCAAAGAACTGTGGTGATAACACCCTGTGGTCACCAAGGATGAAGTGCCACAGTACAGGTGAGCTGTCACAGCTCACCATGGCAGGCACATCCCCTCTTCCCTCTCCTCCTGCTGCTCTCTCCCCTCTCCCAGGTATGTAATCCCACTGAACAGGCTCTACTGCATGTCGGACCCTTTGCTGAGCCACTTCAAAACACTAACCAAAACGTTCTCATCTTTTCCCATTAATTTTGTTTTTCTTATCTTGGACGGCTGAATCAGCCATGGAGTAAATCCAGCATGGGTCACAGCTGAGTGACAAGGTGAAGAGCAGAAAGAGGAGGAAGCAGAAGGAAAAGGAACAGTGGAAACTCTTTTGAGGAAGTTAACCTGAACCAAACTATCTTGTGTATTTTCACTGCTAGTGGGAAGTGTCAGGATACACTTTCTTTAGCAATTAAACTAGCCCAAGAAGGTGTACCACCAACAGCTCCAGCTGCTTCTTCCTTTCCTCAAGCTCAGTTTGCCAGTGCTTCATCTGCAATGCTTTAATTTCATTCACTCATGCTATAAACTGGACCAAATGAAATTATCTAACACACAATCAAGGGGAAAGGTACTGAATTCTCAATGCAAGGAAAATATGAACAAATAGGAACCACAGTTAGCTGAGGATAACATGGCCAGGCAATACTGTAATTTACCTGGAGTCTCTGGAGTTGTGTCTTTTTCCCCAAGAGGTCAGGCCGTGGTTCCTTCTCCAGATCTAATTTGGCTTTGATGGCAGATAATTTCTTCTGCAATGGTGCAAAACCAGCATCAAAGTTCTTATGTTGCAACATCAAATTCTAGATGGAGAAATAAGAAAACAGGTCCAGCATTTAACATATATGCCTTGGCATTATATTTTGTCAATATCTGCTTCATATTCAGGACAAACACTGAGCTATACTATGCAACAGACCACAAATTTATTTGAATATTTGATCAACCTAGGAAAAGGGATTAGTACTAAATTTATACGTATAAAACTGGCATAGTCAAGACTTTGTCTTTATCACAGGCAAAGACAGTATATGGGTTTTGTAGTTCACCTGGAGTTTGCTCTTGCTTTGCAGCAGACTTTTGTGTAGAATTTCTCTCTCCTTTGAAGCTTCAGCTACTTCTTGAAGCAAAGACTCTGCTTTTTCCTCACCAAGGACATTGTTTAGCAGATCTTTCTTTACCTGTAACATCCTCAACTTTTCTTTGAACTGGGAGCTTTCAGCTAGAGCAGCCTGAAGGAGAAAAGTTCTTCCAGTGAAATCATACCAAAAAAAATCATATAGCCGTATTATTCTCACACAAGTTACACAACCAAAGCAGTACAACAAAGCCAGGTAAAAACAGCATGCTGGGCCAACAAGGGGTAACAGAAGGTACCTGGACAGTGCCCAGTTATATGGAAAGAGTTGTCTGTGCAGAGGAGAGGCCTAAACAACCAACAGAAAGGACAGCTTGAATGCTCATCCTGAGGATAAATTCCATCCCTGTTCACAGACACATTTATTCTGGAGATCACAGGGATGACAAAGTAACAAACACACCTTGCTGGGAACATGCACTAATAGTGCATTTTAATCCCACATCTATGTCACCACATAATTCTTTAACAGAGTCCACAAACTTCCCATCCAGGGAGATCTGGACTAATGCTAATCAATATCATCATCATTGTCAAAGACATCTAGCACTTTCTGCAGCCTGCTCAGCTGACACTCCAGTCAACCAAATGGAAGGCAGAAATTAGGACAATGTGCTACAGCTGGAGCCAAGTAAAGAGCTCCATCCCTCCTGGGGGGTTTCCTGCCACACTGGCAGCACCTTCCAGGCTTGGTCAAACCCACATTTCTGAACTTAGCAACAGCTTTGCTACCTCAATGTGAGCCAGCTCTGGCTCTGGAGTCTCCAGGAGCATCTGGACTGATGGCTTCCACTGCTCAAAACTTTGCAGGGGATTTTGGATGAGTCTCCACAGCTGGGCTTCTGTGTCAGTGCTCATTTTAGAAGTCTTGCTTCTAACACTGTAGGGATAAAGTGACAACCAAGAGGATTATGAAGAAATCCAAGCCCAAACATTCTATTCTTCAAGGCATGAATTAACACAATACTGGGGTGTAAACCATACTCAACACAAAAGCCTCAGTCTGTTTTACTGCCTGAGCCTGCTGTGGCATATCAACAGCTGCTCTGTCAGTCAGAGACATCTGACAAAACTTTATTTAGATGTCTCAGAACACATTTGTCTTCTGTGCAACTGTATATCAGGAGCTACTTTGCGTTTCTAGTAGCCAGCAGTCTTCCCTTGTATGTGAACTTCCTTAGCTGCTGTCACCAGTGTGATTTAACAAATCACACTATCAGAGCAGCCTCACTGACTCATGGGAGGAACAAGTCAAGAGTGTCTAGAATGTAACTGCAGTTGCCTGGAAAAAACGAGGTTTTGTTTCTTTAAAAAATTACATTAAAAAGTCTTTGATAACCTTATGTTAACACAAAAAGTGAACAATACATTTTTATGTATTTATGAATTAGAATTAGAATTATTTTAAATTACTTGCATTTATGTTAGTACATAGAAGTGATTCTGATAATAAAGTATTTGTATTTATGTACATTTATCCACATACATACACAGCTCTATTATTGGGGAAAAAATTAAATCAGTAAACCTTCAATGAATATCCAGGCTTCTCTTAAAAATAGCACAGCCCAAACACAGCCAAGTGACAAGGCCCAGCAGTGACACACCCCATGCAGCTGCCTCCTGTTTTTCTCAGCCTGCCTGATATGGCAAAATGCAGCCCAAACTTTATGTTCACAGGGGAACAGTATCTTGCAAACTCACAAGAGAAGCAGGTGAGAGCAATGCCAAGCAGGATCAATACTGCCTTTCCACAAACACAGAAATCTTACCTGTGTCACTGGGCCATGACGGGGCTGAACAAAGGCAAGTCTGCAGAGGCCAAAAGCTCCGCAAATAGAAAGTTCTGACTTTACTTAACGCCCTCTGCCATTTGCTCTGCTGCCCCTGCCAGGCTCAGTGGGAAGCTGCCAGATTTCCCAAAGAAGCCTTGGAGAGAAGCTGGCAAAGAAGCAGCTGCCATTTTCTACTCAGAGAAGTCCCTGCCTCCTTTGCCCCTCTTTCAGCTTTGTTTACTTGCTAGTTTTTCAACTGCAATCCTTTCCCACAATGACCTATAACCCTTCCAGCAGGACAGCATACTGTGCACAGAGGGAAATAAGCTGGGATACAGGAAGAGAACTGACCTTCTTTTTTCCCTTAAAAAAATGATCCTTTCTTCTAGTTTGCAAAATTTGCTGCAGCTTCTTTACTTCCTGATTCCAGGCAGCCTGGAAACGGAAACACTGAAGTCTGGGAGAGGCTAAACTTTCAGAGTTTCCAACCCAAGGCAAGTTGAAAACAGGAACATGCACATGAGCTGCCAGGAGAAGGGGAATAAACTCTGCCAAATAATTGCTAAGGCTGGTGAGTCACTGCAACAAACTCAACAAGGGAGGGCCATAATTCTTCTGAACCGTTTACTATCACAGCTCCTGTCCTGATTTTCTAGTTGCTGGCATGAAAGGCAAGCAAAATACATAAATTATTATTATAAAATGCTAATTAGATCAAATTAGCTGCCAGCAATCTAATTTTCTTCAAACCATACACAACATTAATGATGCAAGAGCACTGCTTGAAAATGACCAGGAGCCTGCAGCTCCCAGCAAATGGCTAAAATTACAGCTTGACTGAAACACGGAGGTGGATGTAATTATCAAAAGCTTTTTTTTTCTACCCATCACCTACAACTGGATGGCATATCACTTTTTTCTTAGGCCCTGACAATCCCTGAGAGAAGATTCCCCCACCATAATCAGACTTCCCAGTACCTTTGATACTGCTGTATTGCAGAGACAACACTCTCAGCGTGTGGCTGCACATCTTGGGAAAACCGTAGCAGTTCCTTAAGCTGAGCCTTCAGCCTCTCAATCTTTGACTCTTCTGCAGCCAGAGCTGCTCTTGTTGCCTTAATTATAAAAATAATGAATAGATCACACCTTATGTAGTATCTGCCATATGAAATAAGAAGTAAGGCTGTGTCTCAGGGTATGCACAAATCCCCTTTCAGTGTTTTTTTTCCTGGTTATAAGGAATATGGTCTTTGCTAAAACAGAAAACATTCTCAGCAACAGTTTTATTCCAGCAGGATCTCTCTCCTCCCCTCACACTGCCCAGCCTCTGCATCTGATCTGCAGGGTTCACTGTTTGAACAGAGTGAATCCCAAACAGGCCTGGTTTCAGTTCACTGACTGCAGTATATAACATGAGCTGCATTTCTGGAGCAGTCTTAAAAACATCTGTTTGCCTGAACACATCTTTCTCAGAGCTCACATACAGAGAATGTTAATTCTAGGGTGACTCAGGGAAACAAAAACAACTAAAACCCATGCAAATGTAGCTGGATTGAACCAGTCTAAATTTTTCCTTTTTGCATATATTTTTCCCAGTTATTCCTGCATAGCTCTAGACATACAAACAGCAGTGAAATGCATTTTGAGAACAGATAGTAAACACAAAACCAGCCCTTGAGAGAAAACAAGCAGTAAAAATTCTTATCTACTTAATGTGTGACAATTTTTTTGCACTCATTTTTGCAGCAGATTGGTTTTGGTGTAAATACTGGATTGTTACAATCTTGGGACTTCTTAGTATTGATGATGTGCCTGCTAGTAAAAGAACAGAGATACCTATCTTACAGAGGTGATGGCTATGACATGGCAATGGTCTTACCAAACACCTCAGAAATGTATACTGGTATCTGTGAATGCACTTGTGTCTGTGTATATATATATATATATATATATATATATATATATATATATATACATTCAGTGAGGCAATAATTTCCTGCTTCTTTTTAAGTGGAGCAAATTGTGTTGCTTGCTCTGTATTGTGCTCTTTTTGCATATGATCCCTTTGAACTCCAGGCACAAACTGCATGCAGCACATCCTCCAAGCCTGCTCCTTCTGTGCAGGGTAAGATGAAGGCTGGGGCTGTTGATTCCATTGTTGGCAGTCACATTTTCCTCAGTGTGTTTCACACACACACTCATACTCCTTCCTTATCATCTCTAACCAATGGGACAGGCATCTGTTGGATGTGACTATGCATGTTCAGTCTCTGGTTGCACTTGATCCTCCACACAAGGAATAACAACTTACATTGCATTTTTTCCACAGAGTTACAAACTCATCTTCAGTCTTTTCCCCTTCCCCAGGGTCCAGGTCATTTTCTAGTCTCTGTAGATCTTTCCTCAGCTGCTGGATGTCTGCTTCCAATTGTCTGGCTTGGGACTCATAGGCACTTTCAGACTGTTGGATCTTGAGCAATCTCTCCTCCTCCTCACTACTCAGCACTTTCAACTTCTCCAAGGCTTTTCTGAGCTCTTCAAGTTCATCCTTCAGTCTTGCAGATCCAAGTGGAGAGGTATTCTGAATCACCTCTGCACACTGATTTTCAAGGTGCTTCCATTTTTTTCCACCACTCCTAATGTCTTTGGCAATTTCCTGTAAAAAGAAGTAAAGATTATCTGCAGGAATGGGAAGCTGGGGAAAAAGCTGAAATCAGTAGGAAAAAAGACCACCCCTCCTCGTTGTACATATTTTGGTTTTCACTTATTATTTCCAAATATGTCTCTTTTCAAGTGACCTGAAGCCAGGGTTAGTCATCTGACTACCTTCTGAGTAATACTAATTGTCATTGCTTCTGAAAATATTGGTTTTCATTAATGCTTATAACTTGAGATCCCTGACAAAAGGAACAGGAGCTGCAGCCACTAGACATATATTAATAGTTGGATCTCAGAGATTTTAAGCTAAACATTAAAAGCATTAGCACCAAAATAAAGGATATTGTTCTCAAAACTGGTATTTTCATCACCAGCTCTAAACTCTCAAAAACTGTGAACCTTCAGAGTCTAATTGGATCTGATTGGATTGTTTACCAAATCTGATTTATTTAAACAAGATTCTCAAAGAATCACATAACCGTTGGAGCTCAGGCTTTAAGAAAAACAAACCAGACCAGTTTGTGACTCATACTGGAAGAACCATACATACAAACAGTTTCAGGACCTCATACAACTCATCTGCCCTAGCCCATGCTAAAATCACCATCTATTTTGTATGTGTAATTCTGTTCTCAAGAACACCCTTGTATGGTTTCAGCAACACATAGGGCCATGAAAAAAAAAATCCTAGCTCCTTGTTAGAGCTATATTGTTCAAGGACCTTCAGTGCCTTTAGCTTGTCCTCTGCTGAAGTCTTGGTTGCTCCTCCAATGCAGCAGTTTAATTTCTCTGTGACACCATTCAGCCACGACTGAAACTGGTTGACACTGGCGCTGTACTGCTCGTGTTCCTTGGTTATCGTTTCAAGCAGTTTCACTCTGTTCTGTAACAAGAGACATCAGAAGTGGTGAGAACTGTGCTTATCTGGCTCTTTTTCCTTTACATTGTAACCCAGAATTTATAAACAAGACTCCCTTTTCATGAGCCCTGATAACACTTGGCCTCCACAGGAATTCAAAGTTTACCTCGAGAAACAGAACACAAAAGTACACAAAGGCTTGCTCCTGTCTGGATTTTGCTGCAGGCTCACAATGTCTAAGTCTCCAAGAACACAAATTGCAAGGCCCTGTCAGCTGAATTTCTGGCTTTCCAAAACTTCCTACTCTCTCATTAGTAAAAGAAAAGAGACAGAAGTTTGTTTCTGGTTTTCCCTTTGAGAGACAAGCAGTTACATTCCTCTTGTGGGTTAAAAATAAAGATGAGCACATCTTATCTCTCAAAATGAAAATAAAAGAATGCAGTAGAGGCATAAAATTGTTTTAAATAGTTTTCATTATTTAAACAGACAGCATTGAAAATGACCTTCACCTTCAGTTGTGTGGTCCAGGCACTTGTGTATTTTCTTAGCAGGTCACAAACTATTCTGTAGTGCTATCACAGACTCTGGAAGCAAATTCAAGCCAATGGAAAGCAGGCTTCATTTTTCAAGTGCACCTGTGCACCCTATAACTAACAATCCCTGAATTTACAGGGGCCTGCACATCATGAGCTGCTGCCTGCTGATCCAGCCTGGCACTCCTCACAAGTGCTCAGGCACTTTTTTTTTGCTCAGACTGCCCTTGTTTGCCAGCCCAAGTTCAGGCTTTTTTTATTTTGACACAAATCACTTGCTCTGTTGTTTCACTAGTATTCAACCTAAGTATTATCTTCTGCAAAATCAGACTGAGTTTTCCTGCCCTTCTCCAGCTGGCATGGAGAGCAACTGAGGTACACTGTGGTTACATTTGATTTAAAAAAAAAATCCCTCCTTGTGCAATCCATTTAGAGCTTGCAGCAAGCTTGAAAGCACCCTTTGCTCTCACAGACAACAGGCCAAGTTGTATTCTGTGTAATACAGGACACAGCACTGGCCTCTGAGCAGCTGCCCTCCAGGGCAAGCAGAGTGACAGCTGCAATGGTGGGTAGAGCTCAAAAGTCCCCTTTGCACTTCCCTTGTCCCTGTGAGGCTCTGGACAGGTTCCCACACCTGCCCAGCTGCCTGAGGTGGCAGTGAGCCATGTCCATTCTGCCAGCCTGCTCTCCAGCCAGGCCAGCAGGATACCCCATGTGCTGGGGGTGGCACAGGGGTGGCAGCTCCTCTGTGACTCTGCCCTTCATCCATGAGACAGGCTATGCCCATGGTGCACTACAAAGCCACCACCCTGCAAGTGGAACACCACCAGCCTGTTTTTCACACTGCCACTTCAGTCCCTGCTGACTTTTGCAAATCCTGAGTGACACCCCTCAAGATAGCTGACTTGCTGTGGGACAAAAGAGGGACAGCTAAGGGACACTTGTTTCCCATGGAGGATGAAATGTTGCCCATTTATTAGAGCATGACCTTTAATAGCACCAGGCATACACAGGTTTGGATGAAACCAAAGGGTACAATTATGACTGCAGACCTCTGTGTCCAGCAGAACACCTCACTTGCTAAATCCCCATGTGTCAATTCTCAAATCTGCAGAGGCTAAACAGTTCATGCTTCAACCTCAAGCCAAGGATCTGAAGAAGACAACCTTACAGCAGTGTAAAAGGGCCACACATCAAAGTGATCCAATTCAGGCTAAGCTTATTGACTCCAGGGAATTAGATTATTTTGCTGGCAGAAGCGCCAAAAGGCATAAATCAGAATAACAAATTAAGCTCAAAAATCTTAGGCTGATATACAGGGGGTTCAAAGGAAGTCAAAACAACCTACCCTTGGCCAGCTAAAATAAATGAATAAGCAGTTTGGGTTGGTCTGTGTGGTCAAGAAATAGATGCCATGGATCTGGACAGATAGTGCTAGTTGTTAGACAAAAGGCTTACAAAGAGTTGGCTGAACCCTCCCTTCACAAGAGGTTAAGCAGGAAAACTTTCCAATGATGAAAAATAAGGTATCACCTGCCCCTGTTAGGTTAGCTGCTTGGGGAGCAGCACAGTGTGAAATTCAACATCCACATTCACTAGGCTGAAGTGAGGAGACATGGCCAGCCCTGGGTACTCAAAGAAGGGGAACAGAGGCTTAGGAAGCCCTCTCCCCTAAGCTCCCTTCATAGCCAGGGAAGGCAAATAAGCCTCCTCTGGAAGGCAATCTAGAGCACATAGAGGAAGCTCCTACTTTAAATCCCTCTGCAGTGTCTCAAGGAGAGTACAGAAAGCTCCTGTAGCCCTTCCTGGTGCTTTTGGTCTTACACTTAGGGTACCTTTGCAAACTATTTTAAGTATCTAGGTTTCAGCTAACAGAGACAACATGGACAGAAATTAATCTGATGTGCTCAGAAGTATTTAATGTATTTCCTAAATATCAACTTCCCGCATATCATAACTTTTCTTACCCTCTTCCATCATCATTTATACTGAAACATACAACCATTTACCTCTGCATAATTTTAATTTACTGGGCAAGGGAACGCATGTAGGAAATGGCTGCCACATCTAAAAATATTCCTATTGATGTAATTAAAAGAGATGCTTTTAAAATTTGGGAATGTTAAAGACACGTGTTAGCACTAAGAAAAAAAAAAACAACCTCCCACCATTTGCTCATACCAAAGAAGCAATATCACAGGCAAACCATTCAAGAAACACCGTCCAAGAGCCTGCCTTCTGATAGAGCTGGACAACTGCACAGGGTCTAAAAATGCCCTTCAAGCACCAGAGTAATCTACAAACACCAGCGAGCCTCCTGTGCTCAGGCATTCAACTGGCATCTGCAAGTCACTTTTAGTCTGGCTCTCATCATGTGAGGGGCCAGAGCAATCCCCTTACAACTCCTGTGTCTCTTCCATTCATTCATGCCTCCTGCCCACTGGAAGAGGTGGCAGGGTTTCCCTAACAAGTGTTATACTTTCCAACACAATTCCCTAGGTGCCTGTCACCTTGGCATTAGATAATAAACTCCTCATTTACTTCAGTTGTGAAATCCAAGGCTTTCCAACTCCCTTCTTTGTTCCATACCTCCTGAAAGAGGGATTTCTTAGCTGGATTCTCTCACTCCATCCTTCTATGAAATGTGGTATTTATAACCAATGCCAAAGAAAAGCTTTTTCTAGTGTCTCAGTTGGCTGGAAACATAAAGACATATTTTGTCCAACTAGTATGAGCCACTTCCTGATCTCATTTACACCAGCACATATCCAAGTCAGTTAGAGAAATCACACCATGTAAAATCAGTCTCACAGAGGTCATATCCTGGCTTTGCTTATTAAAATTACTTGTCTAAAAGAACAGCTTTATTAAAATAACTAATGACTGTCTCCGGCTTCAAAACCAAAGACAATTTTGGTGAAGAGGGAGTGAATGATAATTTTAAATGGCAATCTAGACAGACAACACCTGAATTTCCAGGAACCTTCTTGGATGTATATCCAGATGCCTTGTAATCAAGGGATCTACCTTTAAGAATAAATAACAATGTTGAGGCCCAAGTCTGCTGGTGGCTTCTCTGTGGCCGCTGCAGCTACAGAATTTCCAAACATACTCTAGATTTTGGAGGGACATTAGCAGTAGTTGTGTATACATGGCTAGAAAAGTACCTGTACTACATGCTCACAAAAGATGCCAACTAAGGGGGTTTTTTTTTGTCACTTTGGAGGCTTGGGGATTTTACTTCAAAAGAGAAAATGTATCTGTGGGGCAAGCAGGGAAATGGAATGTTGTTGTTCCTCCAGTGTGATCCGAAGTTAACTTTGTACAAAGGCATTCAGGGAGGGAAAGCATCCATCACTGTCAGGCTCCAGTTCTGGATTGGTGTGTAGGTGTGGGAATTAATAGAAGGCAGCATTATAACAGAGGCAGAGAGCAGAACCAATGTGATGAAAATTATTTGCACCAGGTAATCCCAGCCTATGAAATTTTGGAAGCCACTATGAGCAAAAATTAGGTTTTAATTTCTAGGTTTGGTATAGATGTATCTATATATATTTTTAAAATATCCCTTTGAGTATTTCTATTGATTTGATTAGTAAGAAATTGAATTCTTCTGCCCATCCACAGATGTCTGCTCCTCAGCCATACCACATGGTCTAATCCTGTCTTTATGTGAGTTTTAGAAGTGAAAAGTACAAGCATTTTCTGAAACCTCTACGCAAAAACAGGGTGAAAGGAAATCACTGGTATTAAAAGATGAAGTAGAATGTCTTACACCAGCCTATCCAACAACTATTCAAGCTGGAAGATCAGTATTGGACAAGAATTAGTATCTGTGTGCATGAAAATCTTTCAGATAGTGGCCACTGAGCAAAGTGTTGGGCCAGAGCTGACTCCCACCTCTGTTTCCCAGTTCTGCAGGCAGGAGGGCAGCTCTGGGTCTCAACTACCCCTACTTCCGCCAGCAAGGCTGTGTCCATGTAATATTCCCTGGCTCCTGGCATGAGTACTCTGCATCTGGTTATACATGAACCACTAATGTGCTGAAAGATGGGGAACAATTCAAACTTTATACAGAGATGACCTAAAGCAAGATTCACTAGGTCACAGCAAGCAGCCTGCAGCAACACACTATAAAGCACCATGTAAGAGCATCCCAATTAACATCACCCCAGGACAACAGCTCATCTTGGGACTGGACAATTGTTTCAAACAGTCCATTGACTGAAAGCACAGGGATCCTCAGCTCTGCTTCCTTTTGCAGCCCTACCAAGTAAGCCCCATCACTCAAGGAGCAAGCAGCAAACATCACAGATGGGAGGAATTTGAACCCCTCCCACTCTCTATAAGTGTACCTGAGCTTCTTGCCTGATTCCTTCATATTCCACTCTCATTTTCTTCTGAGCATCCTCATCCACGCTGGGGTCACCTATCCTGCTGAACAACGAAGCAGCTTCCTCCAGCAGCCTTTCCAGCAGCACTGACTGATTTAGGACATCATTCTGCAAAACCTGAGCGTGGCTCAGCTGCCACTGCTTCTCCTTTAAACCAAGCTGCAACTCAATGTCAGGCTCCAAGGTGACCCTCATGTTGTGAATCCATGTGTAAAACTCATTCTGGGCTTTCAGGTACTCGCTCCAGTGCAGCCAGACCCACTCAATGCGGCTGTTGGAGAGGGAAGAGAGAGGAGTTAGATGAAATGATGATGGGAGAGTGGAGACCAACAATTCCAAAAGGCTTTCAAAGCAGTGTACAAGGTTCTCAGCAGTTTTAACTTGCTCTGACTTCTCAGGGTTTGGATTCACTTCCCAGGTCCTCTCTGCTTTGGGGAGGAAATACTCTGTACAAGGTCCTGTCCAAAGTCATCACTGCAGACCGTGGGGTGGGTGGGCCAGGTTGTGAAGGCACAGCACTGAGGTCTCACTGATCCTTTCTCTGCACACAGTCACCAAAATGCTCATGGGACTGGAATTAGCAGGGAATTGCTATCTACAATCCAGGGAGCAGAGAGAGGCAGGAAGCACTTTATGAAAGCACTGGAGGAAAGAGCTGCCTCAACACAGCCAAGATGTGTTTGCCTTACCTGTGACAGTGAGTGATGTATATGGCTGTCTCTTCCCACAGGGCTTTAATGTCTTTCAGTTTAGAGAGCACCTCACGCTTCTTCTCCTCACTGATGCAGCGAAGAGCAGCATCTGCCTTCACGAGAATCAAGTCCATTTTCAAGCTACCTTCTGGTTCCAGGGCACGTATTTTCTGTGAGAAAAACAAATGATACTGAAAGCATGGAAAGAAAACAAGGATAATTAATGAAATGTTAACTTTGTTTTTCCCAGGAATCATGAACTCATAGAATCATTTAGGTTGGAAAAGACCCTCACAATCACCAAGTCCAGTTGTTAACACCACACTGCCATGGGATGGAAACGTTTCTCTACAGCACAGACAATTAACCCTTCCCATCTAACTCCCTGCTGCAGTTTCTCCTGAAAGGAAAATAATGTTTATTCTTAAACATCCTAAAGGACTGAATTTAATTGAATACCACACAGCAGTTGAAAAACATTTAAGTTAGCTAAAAAAACAGACCATCCTCTAGGAAATGCCTGTGGCTGTGTTTCCATTGCTGTTATAAGGTAACAGCACAGGCCAGCTGCTCTTCCCCACCTGCCAAAGCACAAAGAGGCAACCTCCACAGGCTACACTGCAACCTCTCCATCTTAAGCTATGCTATAAGAAATCATGAAGCATATTAAAAAAAATTCCTAGTGCAAATAAAAGTTGGCTTAGAAAAGAAGCCAAGAGAAATTAACTAGTGGAATTTTCTGCCTGCTACCAAATTTTGCTTCGACCCTAAATTGCTAAGTTATGAATTGGTGAAAATGTGTATCTTACACAAATAGGAATGCCAGGAACTGAAAGTGGAGTCATCTAATTTTAAGTATCCAGAGATGGAAAAATCAGCACAAGTTCTGTACAATTTAACAGATTAATTATCCCCCACTTCAGATGTCAACTTTCAACATTACTTTATCCAAACTTCTGATACTATCAAATTAGCTTTTCTTGCTGCTCTTCCATAAACTCCTGGCAAACTGCAGACTTTCCAGTTTGAAGAAAAAGGCTTTTACAATGAAAACACCAAAATTCCCAAAATCAGCCATTACTTTTGGTAAAAATTAGGCCTTTGGGATTTGATCATGTCAGTTATTGCAAAGGTGAGACAAGTAAAAGGGCTTTGGATCTCCAGTCCCACATTCTGGAAAAGCAAAGCCTGTTCTTTTGGCATGTAGGCAGCATACCTGCCTGTGATGTATCAACAGTTGTTTGCAGAAATTATTTACTAAGAAAGGTGTGATTAATAGAATCCAGGGAAGCAGGACACAGGGCAGGGCAAAGCAAGAAAATACAAGCCACTAGCTATCATCCAACAGGTTAAGTGTAATCGTAAAGGTGTATTCTAAGCCTAATATTCTTTCAGCAATTAGAAGCAAACAACAGCTTTAGAGAAAGCAGTGGCTGTACAGTCATTTTTCTTTTTCAAATCTGTTTTTTACATGACTTGTCTCATTGGCTGACATTTTCATTAACAAATTAACAGAAAATAAACCACAGGAAGGAAGCATGAAAAAAAACTGGCAAGCCAGGTGCAAAAAAAGAACTGAAAACCAAACAGTGGATTTGAAGACAGCCAATAGGTGAAGCAGTGAGCACATCATAAGGGCATCTGAGCTGGAGACAGAAGCCAGGCCCAGAAAGGAGGCAGGATGAAGGAGCAGGAGGGGGTTAAGGTACACACAGGAAGAAAGAACTTGTCAATCTTTAGAATGATGAATCTCCAAAGTGTGAGTCAAAAGAATTTCTTATTATGACATTTTGCATGTTACAGATCTCCTGTAAAGCCCACAGAAGTAAACAGGCTTCAGCAGTTCAGGCCATATCACATCACCACAAATCTCTAGACCCTATAACTTGTTATCTCTGCCATGAATGTCCCCTCTTTGCCAAACTACCACTCTTCTACTCGAGTTCCTGTGTCTCTTGTGTGTTTCTTGAGACATTATAGCTTTCCAGACAAAAGAAAAGGGTGAAAATAATTTAAGGTTAGAAAAATAAAACTATAGACCAAGACAAAATGCTTCAGATTTTTATGACTGACATGCAAGTCTAGCCACCATCCATCAGTCCATGAACAGTCTCTGTATTATGCCACAGGCAAGATCCATCCTCCAATAAACCACAGTTAAGGAAAAAGGCTGAAGACATCACTGTAAACTACCTTATCATCCTACCCTCATGTAAGCCTGCAACATTTTTTGTCAAACTTCAGAAGAGGCAGACCAAATATAAGTAGACACACAAAAGGAGAGACTTTGGGGTAAGTAACAATGGGAAATATCTTGCCATCTAAATTAAAGAACACATTACTTGGAATTACAGGTAATAAAAGTATAAAAATAGTTTAAATGTTAGTCATAGAAAGATCATCACTCCCTCCAATGGTACAAATGGGACAAACAGGAGTGTTTCCTTCTCTGAGATTACAAGACCTAGATAACATCTAATGAAACTGAAGTTAATGAATGTGAAATCATTGTAAGAGAGCAGGCACAATCTGCAACAGGATCTCACTGAGAAGAGTTATAAAACAGATTAAGTAAAACCAGGAAAAAAAAAGAGAACTTTTACCTTTTCATTGAACAGATCATAAAGGGGATCTGTAAACCCCGTTATCATCAGGGTTATGGAAAAGGACAAAGGAATTACTCTAAAACAGCCCATTACCAGGACACTGCAATCTTTTTCCATCAGTGCCAGAGTCCTGGAGGGGGTGGAACACTAACATGATCTGATTCTTTTATACTATATGCTGGTTGTCTGCAAATTACTATGGTAATTGCAAGCAGCAACCAAATTGTTCCAGGCTTGAGGAGAGTGTAAACATTTGAACCTGCCAAACCGGCTGCTAGTGTTCCAAATCAATCTGAAAAGCTTGGAAGCCAGTGATAGCAAATTGCCATCCTCTTTTTTCTACATCTGTAAACAATTTGCAAATAGAAAATGTAAAAGAATACTGATGTGAACCCATCCACACAGGCCCAATGCTCCAACAAGCAGGGGCAGTGACAATATCCTGATGGAAAACTCCTGAGTGGGAGCCAGCTATGAATCCCACTGCCCTTCCCTTACCTCAGTCTCTCTCAGTCTGGCTTCCAGGGCAGATCGAGGTCCTTTGGTGTTGTCATTGATCCTCAGTTTCTCTTGGATGGCCTTCATCCAAGCTTCTGCATTCTCCACACTGCTGTCAAATTCATCCTGGAGCTGCTGAGTCATCGCATTTGAGGAAGCTGAAAGGACAGGAAACAGGGAGATAAGCAGGTTTTGGGTGAGACTTGAGCAGGAATGAAAGGCAATCCAAAGGAGAAAGGGAGAAAAGCCAATGATGTTGTGGCTTTCCTTTTTGAACAGCAATACCAAAAGCTGCAGCAGGATCGCTGTTCAGCTGAGCACAGAGAACATATCCACACTGCAGCTTTCCCAAATGAAAATACACCAGGAAACAAAAAGAAGGTGGAGAACTGTGGGAGGATCCTTTACAGTAAACAGACTTAATTCAAAGCTTTTAAATAAGATTAATTTGGTGTTTGTGTGTATTCCAGACTAGCTGCACCAAACACAAACACCTTCTGTTTCCTTCCAGAGCCATGTCAGTGTAAAACTCTTCCAGTGCCCTTCCAGGCTCATGTACTGAGCACCTGACACCAGAGTAATGAAGTACCTTGGCACATGCTTAACTTAGAGGTGTATAAACTGCTGTTGTAGAGGTGTTAAAGCTGCTGAGAACAGGATCAGATGCTTAGACTCTCAGTTAACTTCTGTGCTGAGACCATTCAGGGTTACCTGAATGCACATGCAGCAAGTCTGGGATACACAGGCAATGGGAACTGGCCAGCAACTTCCAAGACAAACCACAAACAAGCCTTCACAGGGGATTATCAACCCTGGTGGATGTCTTCCTTGGCCATCTCTTATACTCCATACCAGGCTCCAAGCTTTTCATTTTGCTCTCCCTCTCTCCTGTTGCCCATTCCCAATCAGCAGAAATGTGTGATGCTTGGTTGCTCTGTTGATGTCTCTGTGTAGAGCACAAGCTCTCCACTGCCCAGACAGCTCCTTTGTGCCTGTACAATAGAGCAGAGCCATCCTAGGCTCACCCCCAGGACTGCTGGACTAAACTTCACTAATAAGGATGAGCCATAACAGAGCACCCTGTAGGTCAGCTCCACTGAAGTGAACAGAACAAGAGCCATTGCCATTCAATGGGTTTGGATCACATCCTACAATACTGCCAGCCAAGCAGCCAGTGTTTTGTGGAAAATAAAATATTCTTCCTCTTTGTTATTCATCACTGAAAGATTTTTTCAGGACAAAGTTTGAGACTTAATTACTGAACCCAAGTTTTTTGTGCAGACTTCAGTTCCACAGAGCCCCTCAGCTTCCATGAAACAATTCATGTGGAAGAAGTGCTCAGTGTGAGAGGCAGAGCATGGCTCCTGGTAAAGCTGGGCCAGTGGTGCTTTGCAACCACCACAGCTCTCAGCAGCTCAGTCTTTACAAGAGAGAGCCATCATCTGCCCACAAGCAGAAAGCTCCCCACCATCCTGCCAATGTTCCTCTCCACGAGGTAAAAGGATTCATGCAATATTAGAGGTCCTTCCTGCAGCTCCCAGTCAGTTTTCTTCCACATTGGACCAGAGAAAACAAAATGTCAGCATTCACAACAGTCTGAACTGTTGCTTCCTGGCTCTCAGCAGGCTTTCTACTCAACAGGTTCCAGAGCAGAATAAAAGAATTGCAGAGCAGCTACTGCACCACCCATGGGGACAGCTGGAGCAGAGGATGGGGTCAGAGCTCCTGTGCAGGTCAGCAGAGTTGCATTTTCATGAAACATGGAATTCCTCCCTAAGTGAGACCTGTCAGACAGGTCAGCATCTAAGGCTGCAGCTCTCAGAACCTGAGAGTAGCTTTAGAAAGAGTGACCTCACGTTGAAAAGTTTTTAAAAATAAAACCGGATGTACTGGATTTAGTGAGGGTGGTGTGGCATGGGGCAGCTACTCCCTCTCTCCAATATAAAAACATGACAGGATATATAATTAAGCTAAAATCATTGACTTACATCACAACAGTGCTAAAGAGGAAGCCAGCTAATGGAGTAATGTTATTTTCAGTGGATTGTTAGATAGCTTCTCCAACTATGACTGGTTCAAAACTGACATTTCTGAACTACAATAATCTTGTTCTTGGAAAAGAGCAGACATGTCATCACAGCTGAAAAACCACCTAATTTTCACACTAACATTTCTCACTATATCTGGCAGTTGTAGAGGGACTATCCTCTAAAACTCCCCTTGTTACAGACATACATTTATTTCTAGGCAAACAGTTTCTGAATGTTCAGGTATGAGCTTCTGAATGTTCAGGTATGAGTGCTAGTTCCAAATTATGCTATTGTGAAACAAAAACTCACAGGGCATTTGCTGGATAGACCCTGGCAAGAAGTGGCATTCATTTCCTAGGAGAGGTTTCTATTCCTGGCAACTTCCATATCATATTTAAAACTGGCTTCAGTACTCCAGTCATGGAGTAGCCAATACAGAACATAATGTTATCCTAGTCCTATTTTTTACAAAAAGTTGAGGGCAGTCTAACATGGTTAAAAAGCAGTGGAAAACCTACTGTCATCCAACAGGAAGAAAACCCCACTTACACTCTGCCCTCGTGCTGCTGCTCTCTGAGCACAAGGAATTTCTGTCAAAACCTCCCAGTAACACAGCCTCCCCCAACCCACACACAGTCAATCCACGTAAGCAGTCAACACAGGAAACCACAAAAAAAGTTATTTCAATATTAAGAGCACCAGCTTGCAAAGGAAGAGAAACACTTTGCCACTCCAACTACAGGCAATAAAATATCACTGACTGATTTTGACCAAGCAATTCCTGTATCTAGTACCACAAGGATTATTAAATTTAGCATGGACTCGATGCCCAGGTGGATTTCATAGTGGTTACAATCTGCAATATCTGACATGGGTTTGGGCTGCCTTTGAGACCTCCTGTCCTCCCTCTGTGCAGATGCTGGCTGAAGCAATCAGCTACAGTGCCTGACTTTTGCTCTGGAACCCTTCCCAAGCACTAACAGCATTGTTTATACCTGCAAGGTAAAAGTATGATTTCTGACTTACTCTCTGCTTGGGAGGAGGAACAACTGCTGTCTATTTGAGATGTGGCAAGATCTGTAACTCCTTTGCAAGTTCTTCTAAAGCTGGGACTAATGATTAGTGGATAAAAGTTAAGCATTCAAGAGCATTCACCCCATTTCTCTTGCATCATTGGAACTAAGAGATTGAGCAATACTTCTGGAGATGAAATTAAGCAATACTTCTGGACCCTGATCAGCACAAAAAGGACAAAGGAGACAAAGTGGCTCCTGGAACAGAGCTAAGCTGTGGAGCTGGGCAAGGCCACCATTCACACACCAATCTGTAACAGCAGCAGCCCATTAGGGACACCTGTACAGTGGTACCTGTACAGCCCCTGTCCCAGGCTCAGCCTCTGGAACCCACTGTGCCATGGAAAGTCTTCCCTTAATCACCAGTGAGATCCTCTGAGAAATTTGCACAAGATTGTTTTTCTCACAGTTGTTTTCAAACGCATCCAGCTGTTCAAAACCTCTTTCATTTAATGCCACTTGAATCAGTGTATTAATTCATCCTGGGGAAAGCACATTTACACTGCAGAAATCACTTGCATCTCTATACATGTTACTAAATGAGGGTAATAGCTGTGTGTGTAAGAAATTCTGGCACAGATAATGAGATGCTGAGCAAAACCAAGGTTTATTTGTCCAGATGCAGGAACAGTTTATTGGCAGAGGTAATCAAGAAGCATATTTCAGGGTGTTAAACAGAACTGACCCAGGACAGCTCCTGCAGTATATCCACAGGTTACAAAAAGCACATTTTTCTGTTTTTAGGAACAGGAAAATGTAAGACAGGTTACCTGCAGAAAACTGTAGTTGAACTTCTCCCACAAAAGTACTCTTCCTGCTTTCCCTGAATCATCCCTGTGACCCCCAGAACATGGCAGTGTCTGGGTAGGCACACACACATTTCAGTGCCACAGAGGGACCATGGCTCAGCCCTTGCCCAGCTCTGCCAGACCCACTGCACACCCACAGCACGCTCTGCTTTGTCTGGGGCTGTTACATGCATGGGATAGCTGCACCTTTGGAGGAGGGAAAGGTGAACACCTGACACAGCCCACCCTTGTCAGCATCACTCCTCTCCCCTCTCTCACCCAGGCACAAAACTACTTAGCAAGGAGGGAAGTCAGAGTACTCCCACCACCTCTCCCCAAAATCCTGGAGAAGGAAGGGGCAGCTGGAAGGATGCTGGAGGGCACACATGCTGTACCCCCAGCTTGCCCACAGTCTGAACACCACAGCATGAATTAGTCAGATCCAAAGCAACAGCAAGCTGGGTTTTGCTTTTAAAATCTGCTCCAATAGTGCTGGGCTGGGCTGAAGAGACGCAGAGGCAGCTTTGTTTCAGCTGTGGTCTTGGAACCATCTTGCTGAAGGAGCAGAGAAATAAAGTAGCTGACTGCCCTGCCTCATAGCTCTGGGAGCCAGGGACATCTCTGGGTTTCCACTGACAGACACAGGCAGAGGTCACGCTTCATGTGACCCACGTGGCACTCACTGAGCAATTTCTCTGAGCAGTTCTCCCTTAAGTACAGCCACTGCAGGAGCCATGCTAGTGCATCTGATAACTCTTCTGGGATATGGCAAGACTTATTTAATATTTGTAAATACACTACTGAGAGCTTTTAAAGTTATTTTGCAAGTGTAGTGTCTTTTTCTTAGGATTGTCCTATTATTTTGCAATGTTTCTTAATGTACTATTTTCTCTCTGCCAGTCATACTGGGGGATCTGTTTTTTGGTGGTTTTTTTTTAAATTTAAATCTCTTAAAACATTTCTTACAACCACTCCCATTTTACACATTCTTTTAAGCCCTACATTTATAGAACACAGGCTTTAAAATTGTTTCAATATGTCTTGGATTCTTATATGCATGTACTACTTGACTGGTTTCCAGAACCCAGTTCTTACAAAAATAAAAGTACAAAAATGCTCCAGGAAAATTCAAACCACTCACCATTAGGGAGACTATTTTCCAATTATTGAAATACTTCAAACTTTTCATAACCCTTTTCATTTGGTTCTGGGATTTCATGTGGAAAAAAAAAATATTTAAAAAAGCCCACTGAACTGTATCAAATTT